TTGGGCAGGTGCCTGAGGAGGGTGTAGAACAAGGGCTGTGTCCAACTGTGCCAGGAGGGCTGTGCTGGGCAAGGCTGAGGAGGCTGCAGAAAACAGTGGCCCTGGGGAGGTGAGAGGAGCAGGTGGAGAGACCTTGTGCCTGCCCACGCTGGGCAGGAGCTGCCCCAGGATGGCAGCTCTGAAGCACTCACAGGATGTCCCTGTGAACAGGAGAAGACTGGATTTAAAAATCAGGCTGGGAATGCAAAGAGTAGGAGTGTCATGGTGTCACTGCAGGAGAGTTCCAGCCGTGGAGCAAGGTGACAGAAGAAGTGACCCAGTACATGCAGTGGCCTCAGAAGATCCCACGCTTCACAAGTTCCCAGGGCTTGTCCCTGCCTGTACTCCAAGGGCTTCCAGCCCACAGGACTGTGCTCCAAGAGCACTCAGGCCTCACAGTGAGAAAGGGGCTCAGGAGGACAGTGTGGAAGGGGAAAGAGAGCAGCTCTGCAAAGACCAAGCCCTGCTGCTCCCTGGTAGTGCTGCTGGACTGGGATTATTGTCCCCTTCCCATTTGCAAAGACACCCTCTTCTGCAGTGTGCTGTCCTTTAGGGACATCTGAGAAGAAGGGTCTTGGATGAAGAAGGCACTGCAGGGTCCTTTATTTTGTTTAAACACTCAGAGAGCACAATTCACCATTTATATATCTCTGGGTAAAATTAAATGGGTAGACACTAAATTAGAAGGCAGATGCATAATAATATTTAATTGCATTGAAAATTACTGCAAGAAGAACCTGATGACCTCCATGAAAAACCAGAGCAGGAAGGCTGGGCCATGAAGGAGTCCCATTCTGAATGCTACACACCAGAACACAGGCACTTCATTGCCCCTGAAAAGTATCCAGTCATCATTTTCCTCAGGGCATTCTTGAGCTCCTGGTTCCTGAGGCTGTAGATGAAGGGGTTCAGTGCTGGAGACACCACTGAGTACAGAACTGACAGGGCCACGGCCAGGGATGGGGAGGAGAAGAAGGGAGGTTTCAGGTGGGAAAATGTTGCAGTGCTGATAACAATAGAGACCACAGCCAGGTGAGGGAGGCAGGTGGAAAAGGCTTTGTGCCGTCCCTGCTCAGAGGGGATCCTCAGCACAGCCCTGAAGATCTGCACATAGGAGAAAACAATGAAAACAAAACAACCAAACAGTAAACAGGCACTAACCACAATGAGCCCAAGTTCCCTGAGGTAGCCTGAGTGTGAGCAGGAGAGCTTGAGGATGTGTGGGATTTCACAGAAGAACTGGCCCAGGGCATTGCCCTGGCACAGGGGCAGGGAAAATGTATTGGCTGTGTGCAGCAGAGCAATGAGAAACCCAGCAGCCCAGGCAGCTGCTGCCATGTGGGCACAAGCTCTGCTGCCCAGGAGGGTCCCGTAGTGCAGGGGTTTGCAGATGGCAACATAGCGGTCATAGCACATGATAGTGAGGAGATAATACTCTGATGAAAAGAAGAACAG